ATCAAAGCAAGTCATTTGCTTATGTAATCGCGGTATCTGGTAATCTGTCATTTATCATGACCCTAAATGACAGTTTAAAAGTACCTCACTGACATCGATGATCCTGATGAAAACTGGTGACAAATTATGTCAGCGGCGTTTATGTTCCTTGGACCAATGTGATACAGTAACGGTTTCTGTTTGACTGTTTAAGATCGGTGATCATTAGCGTGACGCCATGGATAGTGATAAACAGCTAACGTAGTGTGTACCAGATGGCTAAACGACCACTGGACACTAGTCATTCTGCCCATGGAGCTTGTCGAAGTGAACGAGAAATGAATACATGTCTGCGTTTGGACCTGGCAGCCCATACAGCCAATTAAAATTTTTGACAAAGGTGTGGCAAAGCAGTTAGTGAATACACTTGTTTGCTTAATAATGTGAATAGTCGACCATGCTTGAACGCAAGAAAACACCCGCTGAGGAGCGCACGTGATTCGAGATTGGGCACGCGACCGATCGGGCGGTGGCAGCGACTGGCAAATCTCAACTCCCACGCCACCTTGAACGCGCGGGAAGCCTATGCTACACCCTTCCCACGCTGATCGCGCGGGTGGAGTCCAAAGTCGGGCCGAGCGGTGACGCGACTCGCGGGGCCCGACTCTGGGTCCGGCCGAGCGGTGACATGGCTCGCGGGGCCCGACTCGGGGTCCGGCCGAGCCGTGACGCGGCTCGCGAGGCTCGACTTTGAGTCTAGCCAAGCCGTGATGCGGTCCGTGAGGCTCGACTTGGATCCAGAACGGACGGGTCAATAATGGATCTGGACCGAGATACGGATCGGAAGTCGATAATGAAACTGGGCTGGGCTGTATCCGGACCTAGACTGAAGAGGATCAAGACCGGAAGACATACCGTTTAGATCCGGATCTCGATTCAATCGCACTTGGACACTGATCCGAATCCGGGCAGTAATTTTCTTTGCAAAATGTGGATCGAAGTGATGCTACAAATGATTCTTGGCTTGGCATGATGACGGGCGATGTTTTGACCTTTGGAGCCACCGCCGGCTCGTTACGGATATTTGTCGTGGGCGGAACACATTTGGTATGGGGGTCTCGGCCGGCCGGCCGTCTTGCCATCATATTGCCGTAAACTATCGAGCCAAAACGTGTCACGTTTGAGCGTCAGAGCTGTGATTTCGATAATTACTCGTGGATGGAGCTCCGCTGAGCAAGAGTGCAGTTACATTCCGGAAGCAAAGCCGCCGCCATATTACACGGCTATTGGGCGACCGAATGGGGCAGTGAAAGGGCCGATGGACCCGGCCCGACTCCGTGCTTTGATTGGCCATCCTGACCCAGAGACAAACTACCTCGACCTAGTTCTGGCCAGCCATGTGATTGGTGCTGGCTAGGGGGGGGGGGGCGGGGAGGGACGGTTTTCTCGGTGCGGGAGCTGGTGCGCTGTTGGTGAGGGTCCGGGAAGGGCACCGCCTTTATTTATTCGTTTCGCTCTAAACTGCACGGAGTGCATGATGCTAAGCGCAAAGGTTCAACGTGTGCAATTTTGGGGGCAAAGCTCAACGTGCGCGAATCTCAGGCAAAAAGACAAAGAGGAGACGCACTCGGCCCGTTCCAGGTCCTGCTTCTCTGGGTCTTTGTCAGCTTCTTCCGGGTCCTGCTTCTCTGGGTCTATGTTGGCTCCTCCCGGGTCCTGCTTCTCTGGGTCTATGTCGGCCCCTTCCGGGTCCTGCTTCTCTGGGTCTATGTCGGCTCCTTCCGGGTCCTGCTTCTCTGGGTCTATGTCGGCTCCTTCCGGGTCCTGCTTCTCTGGGCCTATGTCGCGTGGCTATGTTCCGGATGGTCAGCAGGTATGGGTCCACTGCTGATGATTATCATGCATTGAAATTGGTATGAATTTCATTACGGTGTCGGTCTTGCTGTTGATCCCTACAAGATCGTACCGTAGGGAGATCAAACCGGTTTATCTAATGATAACGGCAGCTACGATTAGTCATCGTAAGGCGAGCAAATTCCAAGAATAAGTTTGGCATCTTCTCTGATCCAGATGAAACCAACTAGGACTCTGCTCACAGTGAAGCCCTGTTCAGAGTGCGAGCAAGCCTGAGGGTGACGTTTTCCGAATGCTGAGACTTTCGGAGGAGTATGACATTAATGAACATCGTGGCGTGTTGCAGCCGCAAGGGCTCGAAGAAACCGAACTGTCCGGCGTACGCGGTCCAATTCAATCTGTACAGAATTTCCTTTCATGAAATTAAGGACGCAGTCAAAGAGGGACACTGGGGATGCTTTCCTTACGAGTTGCTTAACGAGATCCAGCACAGCAGCTGTCAAAAACCTTCAAATGTTGAATACAAATGGACCGCTCAGGTTAACCTGCTTGGCCGCTGTATTTGGTCATGCCAGATACCTTGTCCGGCACGAGCTTACAGGTACGAGCAGACCTAGATGGACATGTTCCTCGTAACCCCTCGGGGGCCACAAGACGGAAGAGTAGGGGCAAAGCATGGTCGCAATTCTGTCGTTTGGCAATTGCGTGAGCCATCGACTGCAATCCAAACGTTGGTAGCATGCATATCACATTGCGCTCCCCCCCCCCCCCCCCCCCCAAAAGCGCAGTCCACTCAGCCCGCATTTTCTGATGCGGGAGAGCTGTTTGGAAATCGTGACTTCCCGATCGATCCTTGCATTGTTCTCCGCTCATGGGAAACGGTAAGCGACGCTAGTGCCACCCTGAGCCGGCCGTTACGACAGCGGCCACCACCATCAGGGTCGGTTTCTCTCTCTCTCTCTTTCGGCCGTCTGCCGCGGGTTCATTTTCAGCCGTCAACTGCTCTTTCATCACCGCCGTTGTTTAGGTGTTGTGTGCGTGGGACATTTCTAGAGGCACGTGACGCCGTAACAACACACCTGCTGGCAGAAATGCGCACAGAGTAGAATGCCAAGGGATCTCTCGTGCGATCGATGGCGACAACATTGCTCTGTATCACATAATTGTACAGTTGAATCTCCCTCTGGTCTCGATGACATCTTCTCTCTATGAGCAAATATACCTCAATGCCCTTGGCATCTCATTCATCATGCAGTGTAGGAGAAAGGCACTGAAGACAACCCGACAGGCACGGAGGCAAAGAGCTGCCGATCTCCTAAAGGGATGGGTCGGCAGAAAAGTCACCAGCTGTCCCAGAACACCATCATTCCACATCCATCGGCTTCCAGCTGTACCACAACACCATCATCGTACATCCGTCAGCTGCCAGTTTTCCCACATCAACATTCCATATCCGTCGGCTGCCAGTCGTTCTACAACACTATCACCCCAGATCCGGCAGCCGCCAGTTGCCACACGGCAACACATCATCATCAGCACCTTCCCGGAGCCCGCGGCGCCCAGCTGTGCCGGTACCGCTCGCGCGCCGTAAGCAGCTTTCACTACGTCCGGCCGCTCAGGCCGAGTGGCTCTTAATTCCAGTCATCACGGGCGGCCAGCGCCGAGTGACAGCCTGACTCCATTAGCCAGGCGAGCACGATAGCTGGCGAGCCACAGCGCAGGTGACCAGCGACTGGGGCGCGGCGCTGCGCCGACGACAGAGCCGTCGCTTGGTGGGTCCAGTGTGCCCAGCGGAGCTCCACCGAACTAACCAAGCCGGACTGCTTGCAGCAGCGAGAGAGCACTGCTCAGCACAATAACATGAAGGTTGCTGCAGTACAAGTGGCACAAGACAGACTGCAACTGACTTATGTGAAAGAGAAACCGGCGTGCAGCCATTTTTGAACGTTCCGCTGGCTTACTCGTTCCGTTTGTAACAGTCGAGATAAACCCCTATATTTCCGCGGGAGGTTAATCATTTGCAACGTTTAATGCTCTTCGAAAATACGATCAAATCTCATTCTAGGGGGTTCATGAGGCTTATTTTGTTCGGTAAGGTGTTTCCTGTGGTTGATGCAGCGTAACACTGAACGATGTTCCTTAACGCAAAAGACTGCGTCTGCGGCTGTAGGGTTCCGATATCGAGCCTAGGTCCCTGGTCACCGTCAAAGTTTGTAACGTATTAACACGCTTTTCATTCGCTCTTTCCCTCAGAGCGCCTACACTTTCGGCACCATAATAGCAACACAAGTAAGAAATAAATCTCTGGCTGCTTGGATGGCTTCATTACATCCTCAGCATTTACCGACCATCAGCATAAGAACGCAGCGTATTTCTCCTGCATCCAGTGTACTCCCCAGGCCTCATCAACAGTCCCCATGAACAGTCCCGGGAGCACGTCCGACGACACGGAACCTACAACAGTATAAGGGACACACTGTTTTTCTTATAATGCTCTCTCGCCACAGGGACTTAAAATATGTGGGGACGCTCGGCTGTCTCGGGGCCGGTGCAAACTCAAACACCTCCAATGTGTGCAGGCCATCTGTGCTATTGACGACACCTCTCGACAAAATCTCTTGCGGCTCTAAAGCTTCACAAATATGCGCTGCTGTGTCCAGGAATTTTATCAACGAGTTCCCTGTCTCGGCGACCCGTTGTTCACTTCCGAAACTCGTTGGTCGTCTCTGAGCAGTAAATGATCCTGGGAACTTGACTGTCTCAGTGTATACATATACGCCTATGGTGTGTCCCCGGGCGCCACGGTTATCATCTGACCTGAGCTAGATAATGCAAAATATAATCAGCCAGATACTAGGATTACATTTTCAGCTGCCAGACTATCAGCAATGACAAAACTCCGCACTGCGAAATACGAGCGGGCAGGCTGAACCCACGGCGTAAACCACAAGCACGGAACACATCGGACTTAAATGTGGTCTGCTGTTATTAGAGCTAGCTTGCGGCTAATGGCGTTCGTGCAACTCTGAGCCGTCGACACGACACCCGTGTGAGCCTCGTGATACTTGTGAGCCTAGTGTGACAACTCGCTGCCGGTGCCTGAACCTCGTGTGACTTGGGGACTCTGCTGCCATCTCCGTGTGACGCCCCATTCCTTGCCGTTCCAGAGGCGATAGGCATCGTGCGAGCAATGCGGGTACGGCAATGTTTGCTGGCAACTCTGCTGACCATCTTTGGTGACCTGGCGCTGGGACGAGACCAGAGCACATCATGTGAGTACGCAATGGTCGAGCAGCCGGCGGAGGGGGAGGGAGCTGCCGATTCGAGGGTCGCAGCAAACACAACGGTGTCACCGCTGAGAGCCAGCTGAAAGCTCTGTGACGGGGGAGCGGGAGGGGGTTGCCGACCCGAGGGCCGTAGCTAACACACCGGCGTCACTGCTGAGAGCCAGTCGAGAGCTCGGCGGCGGGGGAGGGGCTGCCGACCCGGCCGGGCCGCAGCAAACACACCGGTGTCACTATTGAGAGCCAGCCGAGAGCTCGGCGGCGGGGGAGGGGGAGGGGGCTGCCGACCCGAGGGTCACGGCTAACACACCGGTGTCACTGCTGAGGGCCAGCCGAGAGCTCGGCGGCGGGGGAGGGGCTGCCGGCCCAAGGGCCGCAGCTAACACACCGGCGTCACTGCTGAGAGCCAGCCGAGAGCTCTGCGACGGGGGAGGGGAGGGGCTACCGACCCGAGGGCCGCAGCTATCACACCGGCGTCGCTGCTGAGAGCCAGCCGAGACGTATCGCGTCGTGCTCTCAAACAGGCGCTCTCACGGAGTGGTGAGACCGTGATAGATGGCGGCCGTGGGAATACGTGACTTGCAAAGACGTTTGCGGGGAACGTTCACTCCACTATGCTCATAGACACGATGGTATCACATGGCTCTGTAGATATTTTTATTTTTTTGAAAGATTTGATTCGAACCCTTTAAATGGATGGATTTTTAGGATCAGAGCTCACGCTGAGCAGCGCTTGTTGTGTGAGCCCTGATCCCTACCATCCGATCGCGCAATTCCAGCCAACGGCAGACTTTAGGAGCGAAAGCTTAACGTGCCGCAATGCTCGGCACGGTCCGTCCTGCCTTCTGACGTCTACTGACCTTTAGCGCGACCGCTGCCACCGGTCGCAGGCCATGCCTGTCAAGGGCAAATAGTGAGCAGTATCACCTAAAAATACTCGAACGCATCCCGCCACGGGTGGGTGAATCGAAACGCAGGCGCGCCAACCAACGGAGCCACCGGGACGGAGACGGCTGTGTGGTATTAACTAAAAGGGAACATAGTTTCAACGACATTTGCCGTCTCACACAGTGTTTGGACGCCGTGTTTAGTTGCGGTTTCACAGGGGTTTGACGCGTGTGGATTCTGAACACGAAACCGATGCCTTCGCACGTTTATCAGCGAGAGCACTTGCCGCACGGGGCTCCATTTGTGTTGACGGCACGACGTGCAGTTGCTTTGGGGATTCAGCCAGGCGATGCACCCCAGCGTTCTACATAGCAACGAGCCTGCGCCCACGTTCATACAAGAACCATGAAGGCTACTGCGTGATGTGTCACGCTCTACATCAGAGGAGCCGCCGAGACGCTGGCTCGGGCGAGTCGCCACGGTCCGACTACGGAGACCCGTAGCCACGCAGCCGTTTTCTCCGCCCTCGAGGTCCATTCGGCCGGCCGAGATCTCACCTCGGAGACGAACTTTCGCTAGTTGAAAATCAGCTCTCAGTGAGGAGGCACCCGAGCGCCATGCAGCTGCGCAGCCGATAAATTAGCAGCGATCTTCTCTGACGCCTCGGACGGCGCAGTGAAATCGACCCGAACGTGGAGTTGCCTCCGCCGGCAGGGATCAGAGGCGGTAGGCCTCTAGAATGGGTGCTCTTACTACGAGGGCAAGGAGGGGCTGAGCCTCAACTTCTTTAACACGCGCTCGGGGGCGGGTCAATTTCAGGTACCAAAAATTTTGCGGAATGATATCCGAACGGCACAGCAGAGCCGCGTTATATTTCTCTTGGCTGTGGACCATTGCAACGCAGACCTTTTGGCAGCAAAAACTGAGATGTACCCTCTAGGGTCGCTAACCCATGGCAGTCAGTCAGGCCACAGTTTCAGCGAAGGCGATTTCGAAGACTATCAGAGAAGGAATCGTTCAGTCTGGTCCAGAAACGGAGTATTGGACGAAGTCATATATCTCTGCGATAGTCTCCTAGGTAACACAACAATTGAATTAACAAATTTCATTGACCTAAGGTCAGGCATGGAGGTCAGACCAAAGTTAAAAGGAACCTGTTTTTTGCTGGAGAACTTGAGGTATGACGTAGTTTCTGGTGCTCATTTCGAATTTATAGATAACGGGAACCGCATCATACACCTTCCATGGACTGGTTAAAGCTCAAGAAAAATCACTGACCTAAGATGAACCAGGTGAATATTTTGTTTCTAGGCACATTTCCCTAGCGCAATCATTGACGCTTATTCAAGTAAAGAAATCAAAGCGGTCTTGTATGATTTTGGTCAACATGATCTCTTAAAGGTCAAACAAGGTCACTGACTTCAAATGAGCACCAGTGACCTTTCGCTTAGAAGAGGCATCTAGATTCACGGCGGCTGTATGAGGGTCTGGGACAATTTGACCACCAATGCTGATTTTGACCTTTTTTGACCTTATTTAAACTAAAATTCATAACCTAGGAACCTTAAAATTGACACAGGTGGGTTCACGTACAGGTAAATACAGGGATTTGGTGCCTCCAGCTCCCTTAGCTTTTGAGATCTCTGACCACCACCCGAACGAAAAGTATTCAAGCGGCCACCCGGGCGAGTGTCAAAAGTTAACGTTGACCCTTCGGCACGTTGACTGAAAAGAAATAAGCGAAAACAGCTGACGGTCATCCGACTCAGCAGAAATTCTAATACCCCTGATCTCTAGCGTCACGTCTTACGTCCATACGGCACCGTAAATACACGTCTGCAATATCTGGAAAGGCCACAAGCTTTGGGTGTCTGCGACAGGAGATACTTCTTTTTTCATTTCGCTCTGCCTCTGCTTTTGTACCTGCTCGCTCACATGCAGTTGCAGAGCAGATGCGTGCAAGATGCAGGAAATTTGATGGAATGGTTCGTTGCGTCTTAGGTCAATTCGGGTTATATCACATCAATGGTTTGGACAATGCATGTTTGGACAATGCAATGCATAACCTAGTGCATAACCTGATTGGACAGGTTATGTCTGGTCATTTGAGATCAGGTCAGGTGGCGTTGGTCCAGACCACGTCAGGTAAGGTCGTGTCGGCTGGGTCAGACATTAAATGCAACATGGAGTCAGGTCAGGCCAAGCCAGAAAGTCCTGTTGGGATCAGGTCAGGTCAGGTCAGGTCAGGTCAGGTCAGGTCAGGTCAGGTCAGGTCAGGTCGAGTCACGTCACCGCGCGACCGACGCCAGTCGACGGCGCGCCACTGCGGGTAAAACCGGTGCCCTGCAGGCAGCCCGGCCTACACCGAGAGGTCAGCCGCAGTGCCGCGCGAGCCGAGGCCGTCGCCTGGCCCAGCGTCGGCTCGGGGGTGAAAGGCGCGGCGGTCCACCGAGAGCGCTGTCCCTGACGTCACACCGACCTGGGTAAACAGAGAGCCGGCCACGCCGGCCGGACCGAACCACCCGGTCAGGGCGGTAGGACCCGAGCCTCGGCCGCTCGGCCGGACCGAACCACCCGGTCAGGGCGGTAGGACCCGAGCCTCGGCCGCTCGGCCGGACCGAGCCACCCGGTCAGGGCGGTGGGGCCGGAGCCTCAGGGCGGAACCACCCGGTCAGGGCGGTAGGACCCGGGCCTCGGCCGCCTTGCCGGACCGAACCACCCGGTCAGGGCGGTAGGACTGGAGCCTCGGCCGCTCGGCCGGTCAAGAGACTGGGACGTCAACAGGAAGAGACTTTACGCATGTCGTCCTGGGCCGTCTACGGACATGTCGAAAAACGCGACTTTCTGTGTTGCCCTTGTGCGTGGCAGCGAATTTTGAAACAATTTACAATTAATTACAGAGCTGTTACCAAGTTTCCCTTAATGCGGTACCTCATCAGATTCAGGGAGGAGAGCAGTTTTATCACATTCAGCTTGACCACTATGAAAATTCAGATAACTCTGAAAGACAATGGCAGTGATGAAGCGTGGATCCCGTGCACCGCTGTCTTGGGTCATCGGGAGCAGCCGCGGCCAGCATCCGGCCGCGCCACACCGTCGCTCCGTGGCTTATGCAGCTCCGAAACGACTACATCGTTGCGGAAACAGCGCGTTGATGACCCACCCGAACCCGTCCCCTCTCCTGCACAGGTCGCCACCAATCACCTACATCATGTGACATTGAGCGGAAGCAGTGTCACGTCACCCAGCGCGAAAAAGCTGCCCGGTCGGATGGGTGGGTCCAGAGACCACGGCGCCTGAAAGTGAAAGAGGCAGGACTGGACCTGCTGGCGGTCACCTGGGCTGTCGGCTGACTTGGAGAGCCCGGGTACCGGTCACTGCATGTGTCAAGCGCCAGACCGCGGCGCGTCAAGTGTAGCGAGCTCGAAACCAGAATCTTATGTGCATCTAGGCTTCACGGCATTAGATCAACCAAAGCAGTTCTGAACAAAACTTTTATGGAAGGCAGGAGAGTTGCAGTCACAAACAGGAAGTTTTTATCCAAGAAAACGAGTAATAACAGAAACGCCTGCATTTCATACTCTGCTCCGACTTGGAGCACCATTCCGCAACGCCGTGGCACGAAAGTACTTCCGTAGTGCACCTACCATTGCAATGCGTTTGCCACACACACAGGGCGCATATAATAGCCGAAATTTTGCAAAAATACTGCAGTGAAGTGCGAACAAATGCGAAGAAGAAAGATGGGATCTAAATCAGGTGGCAATTGGCAACCAGGCAGTCAGACAGTTTCAACGCATGCCACGAGGATGTTTGTCGGTGGACCTTTCTTTTCAGCCACTTCATTCCTGTTTTTCCATCCGGAAAATCACCGCATAGCTGTTGCAATAAGTGGCAAGGAATACAGCTGTCGCGCGTGCGTTGCTGCCTCACCACACTCACACCTTAAGCTGTCGTGAGGTTGTCTGATTGACGAGACCGCCAGCGGGAGAATCGATATGGCAGCGCCTGCCCTGTGTTCCAGCTGAGCTGGTGACGTCATCCAGCTCCAGTCACCGGCGCAGTCGACGGGAGGCCAATAGCTGCTTCTACAATGGAGAGTTGTACAGGTGCACCTTCTCAATTACCTGCATATTCACTGGAGGTAAGAACTGGCGAACCTGGGATATTTCTCGATATCGCTTTGTTGAAAGGTCTTTGTCAATTTCGGTTTGTTGATCTCGGTTCGCTCGCTAATTCTCCACAGCTGTGGAGGCCTTTAGCGGTTTTACACTAATGACCCTTTTGCTAATTGCCGGTGTTATTTATTATTGTCAGATGTCTCAACAGTAGTTCATATAGACTCAACCTCTCACAACCACATCCATGGAAAATCGAAGTGATCACACGCCCCAGGAAAATATGTTATAATTGTAGTGTTTAAATAGTACATTTCTATATGGTCTCCGTTCCGTTCCACGCCATTTTTGCTTATGATACTTGGACACGCTGCATCCTCTTGAATGACGGCAGGGTCTACGCGAACATGATCTCTGAAGCTCAGAATAAGGTGGAGCGATGAACATCCGTCACTGATGGTGATCAGCTTGTTGCCACGAAGTTCGCTGATGCGACGTTCCCGATGAGACGGTGTCATCACGCGCGGTCGGTTATCCTTCAGTTGACTAAAGCGGCTCATTTCCAGGCAAGATCATGCCCAACTGCGGAAACCTGCTCTACTCGTGCTGTTTGCCTGAGTCGACGAAGCGCTTCAGCGGCCACCGGCACGACCGGGGCTTTCGCTTTCCCTCGTTCCCGCTGTCGCTGACCTCAGGTCGCCCGGCGCCGCGCCGCGTCATCTTCCGACGCCAGCCACACGTGTTCGGTGAGCCGCGAGTCGCCGCGAGTGTCCCTGCTTCCCTCTCCCCCTCAAGTCTCTTGAGGGCCCGTCAGCTGAGTGACCTCGAGGGACCGCCGGCGATGAGCATTCCTTCTTCCCCCCCCCCCTCGACGGCGCTTCCCGGGAAATCGCTAGCTGACTAAACTACGACTCGAGGACCTCTCTCCCCTCGGTGGCGCTTCTCGAGGGACCACCAGCGGCGCCTCGGGAGTCCTTTCCCGCGCGGCGGCACCTCTCAAGGGAGCGCCAGCTGACGCGGCGCGTTGAAGCTGATGGTGCCGGCGGGGCGCCGGCTGGCGCGCGCCACACCGGCGGCTGCAGCCCAGCTGTGCTGACCAGACGGCCGGGCCGCCGGCCGTGACGCCGCACAATGGCGGGCAGGCGGGTGACGACAGCGGCCGGAGGCCGACGCCTGCCGGCGCCGCGCCGCGCCACGCTACGCCTCGTTTCGTGGCTCGTTACTCTCACGGAGCAACGCCTACTGCAAATTGGCTCCGGTTCTGTTTGTTGCACTGCATCACTGAGCCGTAGCCAGGCTGTGGTGACGAAACAGAGCGCTGCGTGGCCGGGGAGAGGGCGACAGGGTTCTGGGTCTCTGCGCGTGTGGGGAGAGTCCCAGTAGGTCAGCCGTGGTGTGGAGAAGTGGGACGGACAGAGCTTAAGGACTATCGGGCCCATCGCCGTCTTTCACATTCCAAGCGGACCAAGTTGAGTTTCAATTTCAATCGCATCGCCTGTGGCCACGCAAGATCAGGAGCGACCAGTGCAGAGCACTCGTGCCTCTTAGTGTCATTCCTGAGTCCTGAGCGACTGGCTTACAGCATGCGTCATAGCATGACGCAGTTTCTACCGCGGGCCTGCCAGTGGTAGAGCTCCCATGGCAGCCGCCCCAATAAGCTAACCTTGAGCTGCGCTACGGCCGCTGACCAAACAGCTCCCATGTAGTCAGCGTCTCGGGGCCAAGCTGCCACGTGCTGCTGTCACTGACTCCCGCGACGCCGTTCGGAAAGCGTCAAACATGAATCAACAGAACTTTAAGCTAAGAGCGTTGGCGTCCTGATGAAAATTGCACCAAGCTCTTGGCTTTTGCGATGCATGTGATCAATCAAGTCGTACATATTTTCTGACGCCTTCCCCACTCTTTACACGTTGATCATTTGCTCATCTCTCTTGCCAACAGCGAACGGTATGTTAAAGCTGCTCTGTAACTGAATACTTGTCATAACAATTATTTTTTCATCATCATGCTCCTGTTACTGATACTAAGAATACTGTCATGCCTACATTGTGTAGACTTAAGACGGTACCTTATGGTCCACGATAAGAAACGACGCCACATTCAAGGAAGAGTACCAAATTGCAGACCAATTTTCTTATGTACGCCCGCGTACTTGTATCAGTCGTGTCCTCGTCGAACTGCCCTGAGCTCTGTCAGGTTCTTCTTCAAGCGCTCATATTTTTCCATCTTAAACGAGTGATGAGCCGAGATTGTCCGTCAGGTGCAGCCACGGTCGAGTCAACTGTGAACTAAATCTCAATAGTTTGAAAGCAGCCGTTAAGCCCTGTGTGAAGGTGCTGAATGGCTCAAACGGACGCAGAGAAGACGAAGCGCCAATGACAAAGGAAAAGACACGCCATTTGTGAGTTTCTGTTCACCTTTTTGCTCAGCTTTCGTACATGTCAATTTGTTCTCTTCATGCTCAGGCCAGTCATTCAAAACTTTTCAATCGGGCTAAACGGTCACTTCGATTAAACGTCATCAAGATGCCCTGCTATGCAAAGGAAGCCTCTACGGAACTGAAATCACAACGATATTACAATGGGCAGGCTTGCTTTGAAAAACATGTTTATCCGGGCAGCTTTGGCATTACGTTTCTCAGCATTTTTCACTTTCAGCGGCTAATCCCGTGAAATTCTTCTTTTGTACATTATTATCAAGGCATTGGTTTTATTCAACATAATTAGCATCACTCACACCAGGGTGTTTGCTTATACCTATCACACTTTGTGACTTGCTCGGTTTTGTCAAAAATCGTACGATGGCTTGTAACACATCTCGATAAAGAATGCTTTTTAAGATCGGACGTTGTTGACCTCTGCTCTTCTGACATTAGTTCAGAACACGGCTCGCAGCGTCTGAGACTGATTCTGACTCTGAAACCGGGTAGCATTGCAAAATTATAAGTTGATAATGATCGTTATCCATACAAATGGTTTGGCTAAGGCATCAGGACTGTGAAGTAGATTGCAAAAGACCGCGGAGAACATTTGTACAATATGCCTCACGCTGCGTTCGCTGCGCATCTGACATATCAACATAAAATGCCGGTTGATATCTGCATTATATCTGAGAACACTTATCACTGGTTCTGTCTCATATAATTTGTTTGAGTCTGTTTCTGACTCGTTTACGCTTTCAAAGCAATCGATTTCACTGATACCTAAAACACGCTTTGCTTTTTGGGAGTGGGCTATGACCCCACCCAGAATGAAATACAATTCCGGCCAAAATCCTCCGCCCCAGTGGAAGCGTAACAACTCAAAACCTTCGAGCAAGAGAACGACTTTGTCAAGCGTCAGCAGAGCTATTGCCAGACCGTCTCGCATGCGACAAATTCGTGTGTGGCTCACCGAACTGACTAGCCGCAAGCACGCTTGCGTTCGCCGCCTTACTTGAAATAAAAAGACCGGTTTGTAATACTAACCGGTTCCTTATAATGACGATGTATCGACACCAATTGCACAATGTTCTCTTTGGGCGGCACAGAGTGGTAAACATGCACTGATAACCGGCCGCTGGCACTCGTTACACATGACCTTTGTGACGGCATCCAGAGATGGCTAGCTCCGAGCTGACCCGACCTGTCAGTGACCTGTGACCTGTGACCTGTGTGCAGGGACCCGTCACTTCGGCGGCCGGCGTCCGCGGCCGCCGCGTCAACACCTGGCGGCACCGAGCTTGCCGGCGCTGCCTGACCTGCGGCACCTGGCCCTCACCAACTTCTTGCCGCAACAGGGGCACAACGAGATCAGTGGCTCCTCTCACCGCGAGCCAGGTCAGAGCTGGGTCTCTCTCTCTCTCTCTCTCTCTCTCTCTCTCTCTCTCTCTCTCTCTCTCTCTCTCTCTCTCTTTCTCTCTCTCCCTCTCTCTCTCTCTCTCTCTCTCTCTCTCTCTCTCTCTCTCTCTCTCTCTCTCTCTCTCTCTCTCTCTCTCTCTCTCTCTCTCTCTCTCTCCCTCACTCACTCTCGCCAGCGGGGAGACGGTGTTATCTCGCTGGGAGCCGGCTGGAAAACGGTGTTATCTCGCCGAGAGCCGACGTGGAGACGGTGTTATCTCGCCGGGAGCCGATGAGAAGACGGCGTTATCTCGCTGGGAGCCGGCGAGAAGACGGTGTTATCTCACCGGGAGCCAGCGGAGAGGCGGTGGTATCTCGCCGGGAGCCAACCGGGAAACAGGGTTATCCCGCCGGGAACCGGTAGGGAGACGGTGTTTTCTCGCCGAGAGCCAGCGAGGAGACGTTGGTATCTCGCAAGAGGCCAGGCTGAAGTCGGGCTTTACCCGCTCGTCAGACCGGGGGCGGGCTGACGTGACAGGTAGCCTGACTAGAGGAGGCGGCGAGAGTGGCCGTTTACCCGGTGCGGCGGGATGCGGTCCTTGTGACGTCACGGTAGCCGGCGCCTGCCGTCCGGGCCGGCGTCCAGACTCCTCATTGGCCGTCACACGCAGCACGCTACCGATGATTAATGGGAGCCGTCACGCTGCTGGACCTCGACGGCGAAAATACTCTCTAGCATTCCTGAGACGCATTCGCTCGCTCACTTTCAGGACATCCGCGCTTGTTTCCTTTCCAAAAGAATGCAGACATGTTAACAAAGACAGCGGCGCGGTAGCAAAAGTGAAAGGATCCTGCGGCGCTCTTCCCCACAGCGCGTGTGATGTTGTGGGCAGCCTCCGGCCGCATGCAGAGCCACACACACCGACATCGTCTGAAGCGCCACCAATGTCCTCGTGTTGACAGTCAGCTGGATGAACGCGCGCTGGTAGGCCATGCGTATGCCAGCAGCCACTCCAGCTCATTGGGCGTACGTTGCTTGGCGATTTTAGTGCTGATGCAGGCATGCGGCAACGCACTTTCAGTATTTGTAGTGTACTTTATTGAACGAGCTGTTTTGAGCACGTGTTGCGATGTGTTGATATGAAATGCGATACGTTGATATGTTGCTACATGTTGTTGATATGACATGTTACGTCATCCAGGGCAGAGTTGACATTTGCAAACGTAACAGTGACGACACAAGCCATGTGTAGCAGCTGAGAGCTACCACGCAGGCTACACAGCTATGGGCCGCGCCGATATGTGAAGCGTGTTTGGTGTCTGTTCGTGCCAGGCGCCGATATGTTTGATGTTGGTTGGTCCACTGACCCGGAGCGACCCCACTGGTCGTCTGACACTGCTGATCCACTTGCCATTTGTGTGAACCTACCCAGCCGTGCTGACCAATCAATATGTGTCACTGTTGACGCAATACAGAGTGTAGCCGGCCGGCAACCGCCAGGATCGTCGTCTCCCCTCTACAGCAGCCTCATCTGCTGTCCCCTCTACAGCCGCCCGGATCGTCGTCTCCCCTCTACAGCTGCTCTGACCGTCGCCTCCCCTGTACAGCCGCTCTGACCGTCGCATCTCGCCCTGCAGAGTGCGGCGTGCCGCTGCCGCGTCTGCAGAAACGCATCATTGGAGGCTACGAGGCCGACTACGGCGAACTACCCTGGCAGGCGCACATCCGCATCCTGGGCTACCAGTGCGGCGGCGTGCTGGTCAGCAGGCGGCACGTGGTCACGGCCGCTCACTGCGTGCACAGGTGGGCACGACTCCCGCCACTCCGGTCCTAGTTATGTTATCAGTTGAAAACTTTCATTTAATATATGAGCCACGGCCGCCCACTGCGTGCACAGGTGGGCACGACCCCCGCCGCTCCGGTCGTAGTTATGTTATCAGTTGAAAACTTTCATTTAATATATGAGCCACGGCCGCCCACTGCGTGCACAGGTGGGCACGACTCCCGCCGCCCCGGTCCTAGTTATGTCATCAGTTGAGAACTTTCATTTAATATATGAGCCACGGCCGCCCACTGCGTGCACAGGTGGGCACGACTCCCGCCACTCCAGTCCTAGTTATGTTATCAGTTGAGAACTTCCATTTAATATATGAGCCACGGCCGCCCACTGCGTGCACAGGTGGGCACGACTCCCGCCACTCCAGTCCTAGTTATGTTATCAGTCGAGAACTTTCATTTAATATATGAGCCACGGCCGCCCACTGCGTGCACAGGTGGGCACGACTCCCGCCGCCCCGGTCCTAGTTATGTCATCAGTTGAGAACTTTCATTTAATATATGAGCCACGGCCGCCCACTGCGTGCACAGGTGGGCACGACTCCCGCCACTCCAGTCCTGGTTATGTTATCAGCTGAGAACTTTCATTTAATATATGAGCCACGGCCGCCCACTGCGTGCACAGGTGGGCACGACTCCCGCCACTCCAGTCCTGGTTATGTTATCAGTTGAGAACTTTCATTTAATATATGAGCCACGGCCGCCCACTGCGTGCACAGGTGGGCACGACTCCCGCCGCTCCGGTCCTAGTTATGTTATCAGTTGAGAACTTTCATTTAATATATGAGCCACGGCCGCCCAGTGCGTGCACAGGTGGGCACGACTCCCGCCGCCCCGGTCCTAGTTATGTTATCAGTTGAGAACTTTCATTTAATATATGAGCCACGGCCGCCCACTGCGTGCACAGGTGGGCGCGAGTCCCGCCGCTCCGGTCCTAGTTATGTTATCAGTTGAGAACTTTCATTTAATATATGAGTCACGGCTGCCCACTGCGTGCACAGGTGGGCACGACTCCCGCCACTCCAGTCCTAGTTATGTTATCAGTTGAGAACTTTCATTTAATATATGAGCCACGGCCGCCCACTGCGTGCACAGGTGGGCGCGAGTCCCGCCGCTCCGGTCCTAGTTATGTTATCAGTTGAGAACTTTCATTTAATATATGAGCCACGGCCGCCCACTGCGTGCACAGGTGGGCGCGAGTCCCGCCGCTCCGGTCCTAGTTATGTTATCAGTTGAGAACTTTCATTTAATATATGAGCCACGGCCGCCCACTGCGTGCACAGGTGGGCACGACTCCCGCCACTCCAGTCCTAGTTGAGAATTTTCATTTAAGATGTGAGCTCACTCAGTCGAAACCATTTTTTTTTTCACACGCCAGTCGCTACCAGGCGAGCGGTGTTTGTTCACATATCAGTGAAAGGCATATGTTAGAAATATCACTCGGAGGGCATGTGTGCGGCAGGTCTTCGTGCCGTGGTGCAGCACCAAGTAAGGCGAGCGGTAACTGGGGGAGGGGGGAGGGGCGAGCGAGTGATGATGGGGCGTTGCCACTGCTGTCGTCACGGCTGGCGACGCCAACTGTCCCTTGCCGGGTGCGGGCCGACTGCGCTGTCTTCCCGACACCCCTGAAGACATCCCCGACCGGCCTGCCGCAGAGCCAACCTGAAGGACATCAAGGTTCATCTGGGCGAGTACGACACCAAGGACACTGGGTTCTACCCGGAACCGTACCCGTCTGCCGTACGCTCGGTGGCCGAGGTCCGCATCAACCCCCGCTTCCACTACATGCTCACCCAGCCGGACAGGTGAGCATGCCCGGCGGCCGACGGCCCGAGCGGGCCTGGGAGCGGGCGCGATGTGAGAGTGCCGGCCGCTGGAACGCCATGTGGACTCTGCGGTCTGCTGCCGAACATGTCCTAACGGGCTCCTGCGTCTCCTGGCAAAGAATGCCCTCTATATGCTATTGTAATGGCAGCGCCCTATCTGACGCCAGATTGCGCGATAGGGTTAGTAAAAAACAAACTCGCGGCCATATGGCTCGTCCGCTTGCTTGCTGATAGCTCTGTACGGTGCCGACCGGCCCACTTACCGCCCCAGCTACTCGATTATAAACTTTCGCCGCGTCCCATCCGCGAAGTGCAATACAACTGCGACGTGCCCACGTCATGCAGCCGCAGACTGCTCCCGGGCGGCTCGATCTGGTATGGCGCTTGCCGCTGGCCTGACTTGCCGACAATAGCGGCACCGTACGCTCCGCGCTCCCGCCAGCCGACTCGAACAGCCCTGCCCTGCCTTTGAGCGCCACCTGTCGAGCAGTACCTGCTACAATAGTGGGCTGCCCACACCACGCTGGTGGCATTACCAGTGACGTCACATAGTGCCCGTCGCGCCCCAGGTTTGACGTGGCCGTGGTGCGGCTGGACGCGTTACCAGTGACGTCACATGATGCCTGCTGCGCCCCAGGTTTGAAGTGGCCGTGGTGCGGCTGGACGCGTTACCAGTGACATCACATGGTGCCTGCTGCGCCCCAGGTTTGAAGTGGCCGTGCTGCGGCTGGACGCATTACCAGTGACGTCACATGGTGCCTGCTGTGCCCCAGGTTTGACGTAGCCGTGCTGCGGCTGGACTACCCGGTGGATTACCGAGCCAACATCCTGCCCATTTGCCTGCCGGCCGACCACGCCGACTACACGGGCCACATGGCCGTGGTGGCCGGCTGGGGCAAGACGGACAACTCCTTCAGTGAGTAGCCGACGCCGCGGCCCGGGCGGCAGGGCGGCGCTGGGGGTCTGCAGTCACGGAGAAAGCTAGCGTCAGGAACGGCAGCGACCGTCGATCAAACCGCGATATAGTGACGGCGAAGCAATGAGCTAGGCACAGAGGTACGTAACGTAACGTGACGTAACGTAACGGCACGTCCTGACCTTTGCTGAACGCATGCTTACTGTTGACGTGTTCTTGTTGGGCTTTCGTGGGACTTCTCAGCACTGGTCTGCTCCGCGTGGAATAGGTGACTTCTCCTCCGCTCCCCGTGCGAGCAGCCGCCGCATGTCTGCCGTCACTAGGTCTTACTTTCTAGTGGTCTGCTCGCAGGTAAGACGGGCACGAACATCCTGAACAAGGCTCCAGTGCCGATCATAGCGAACGAGAACTGCCTGCAGTGGCATCACCAGAAGCACATCGACCTGCAGCTCCACGCCGAGATGTTCTGCGCCGGCCACGAGAGCGGTCAGCGCGACGCCTGCCTGGTGAGCCGCGCCTGACGCCTGCCGCGCCTGAGGCCTGCCGTGCCTGACTCCTGCCTACTGAGCTCCGTCTGACGTCTGTCCACTGAGCTGTTTTTGACGCTTATCTGGTGAGCTGTTTTTGACACCTGTCCGGTGAGCTGTGTCTGACGCCTGTCTCGTGAGATATGTCTGACGTCTGTCTCGTGAGCTGTGTCTGACGCCTGTCTGGTGAGCTATGTCCGACGCCCGTCTGGTGATCTGCGTCTGACGCCTGTCTGGTGAGTTGTGTTAGACACCTGTCCACTGAGCTGTGTCTGACGCCTGTCTGGTGAGCTGTATCTGATGCCTGTCCACTGGGCTGTGTCTGACACCTGTCTCGTGAACTATGTCTGGCACCTATCTTGTGAGCTGTGTCCGACCCCTATCTGGTGAGCTGTGTCCGACACCTATCTTGTGAGCTGTGTCCGACCCCTGTCTGGTGAGCTATGTCTGACACCTATCTTGTGAGCTGTGCCTGACACTTGTCTGGTGAGATGTGTCCGACACCTGTCTGGTGAGCTATGTCCGGTACCTGTCTTGTGAGGTGTGCCTGACGTCTGTCTGAAGAGTTGCGCCGGACGCCTGCGCCGCCTGCCCCGCCTCCGTAACATCTGACACCCATATCACCGGACAACATTTGACGCCCGCCTGACTGTTGCATGGGTCGGCCGGCGTGGCCTTGTGTCTCTGAAGACGTCAAAAGAGGATGGCATAGTGCTGGTGTGGTGAGATGGTGATGAGTGAGTGGATGGTGTGGGGATGGCGCGGTCGATCACCAGCCTTCATTGACTTTATCCCCCTCGCCTTTCACTCTCAGCTTTGCCGTGACAATATTGGCTCAGATTCGGAATGAATATTGTAACGTTGTCCTCGAATCACATGGCTCCTGAGTACGATTCTATATCGGCCCAGCGAGGCCCATGCACGAATTTTGTTACGCGCGTCACGTACATACATTATGTCCTCGTCGTCATGTTACCACCGTCTACTCTCTCCGCATTCTGTGTCACTGGTACTCTTGTCTTACCGGAGTTGTTGATAGACTGGCAACAGAGCCTGCTGCGGCTGGCTGTCCCAGCGTGAGCCTCACTTCTGCCTGTCGGCCAGGGCGACTCCGGGGTCCGGGGGTCCGCTGGTCGTGCTGGACGGGGGACACTAGACGCTGACCGGCATCCCCTCGGCTGGCTGCCCCAGAGTGAGCCTCACTTCTGCCTGTTCGCCAGGGCGACTCCGGGGGTCCGCTGATCGTGCGGGACGGGGGACACTGGACGCTGGCCGGCATCACTTCGGCTGGTTTCGGCTGCGCGGTCGACCACCAGCCGGGCATCTACCACAAGGTCTCCTCCAGCGCCAACTGGATCCGGGACAATATCAGGGACTGATCTGCCGGCGGTGGCCGCCGAGACTGAGGCGCCACCCGCCAGCGTATCGGCCACTGGGCTGGACTGCAGCCCGGCTGACAGCGGGCGGGCGACATCGGGGCCTGGTCCAAACTGGGTTGTGGAGAACGTTCGAAAGTGATCCGAGCTTTATCCAGGAGGGATCTTGGACACAAACCAGAACTGATCCAGACCTCGTCCGGATCGGGTCCGGGACACCGCCAGACGTGGTTCGGATACATGCCACACGACATCCGGCGTTGGTCGCCGAACCAGAGGCTGCTCCCGACTGGATGCGGGAGGCTCTTCTGGCCTGTGCTGCGCCGGACGAGTTGCAGTCGGACGCATGATGTGCAGCCGCATCGAGTTGACTGGTAATGGCAGGCTCAGACAGCTGGCTCGCGAAGACGAGGTGGCTCAGACGGCCATCACTGCAGTGCCGCCATCTATAGCGGAGAAGCGTTCTCTGCCGGACAATGCTGTCATAGGTGGCGCTTCAGCCGAGTGCGATGGCGTTGTTTTGGATCGGAGGACGGACCAGGGACCAGATCTCACGTGCCTCTCGTTTTGCCAGGATTTTCACGTTACGGACAGAGCGCAAAGCTGAATGATCTGAACGTTTTGTTCGATTCAAGTGCACCATTGGCCCTCGTTTGGTCCTGAACCAGAAATACGTACCGGGAACATCACAGAAAATGCGTCCCATGCCTTGTTTACGTGCTCCGTGTTTTGGCGGGGAGTCGTTATAGCCAAACCTGAAAGATATTGTAATGTTGACTTGTTAATTGTTTTTAGAGTCGTCAATTCGTCCCGGTCCGACACATTTTACAGTTCTCAGAGACATGACGTGATTATTCTGTGAACGGTTGATGAAGGCGATTGGTGGGTTTGATACCCTTGCCACATGTCTTCACACATTACGAACATGTCTTCGCCACCTTCCCTGGTCCCACCAAGTCATGAAAATGCTTGTATTTGTGGTACGCACAACTACATATGTCTTTCCTGGTCTGGTAAAGTCATGTAATATTACATTTGCAGTGTACAATACAGCCCTGTGTCTCAGCCCTGTCTGCTTCAGCGAGTGTTGTCGAACATTGTTGCATGATGAGACGCATTTTCCCAGACACTAACTTACTGCATTTCTTGGATTATCAAAAACACAAGACCACTATCACGATGTCATTCGTTTGCTGTGAGACTTTGTACAGCAACGAAGGGACATAAAAGGGACACGAGCCGTAATAATGCTCAAATTTTTGGATATGTCATTTTTCGTGTAACCTATGTGATTATCAAAGCTAGGTTTGACGCTTTCCATTTAAGTTATTCTATTTATATATAAGCTATATATATATATATATATATATAACTTTTTATATTTAAGTTATATCTATTGCGCTACAAGTCTCTATTTCTCCTCAATGCTGCAGTAATACATGTCTGGCACTGCATACATTTATTGATTAAGCCATTCCTGTACAAAGCCGCAGCAGTCCCAATCGGTTGTGGTGCAGTGGAAGGTGAAAGGGGCCTCGCAGTGGGGTTAATCATGAGGTACCCTGCTCTGTCTCCTGCAGTCAACCCGACTTGCCTCGTCTCAGTAATGTCACAGTCACACTCCGCCACGTCGCGCTCTGCCCCACTTGTATATCTCCGCCAGACAAGTGCTGGATCATCACTAGACCACCACAGCTTCCCAGCCGGCTCAGCGTGAGGTCGCCGACAGAGAAGCGTCCTCTTCACGTGCCGTTTCCGGGGCTCGGGCGGCGGGTCCGGCCTTCGGCGCCGGAGCGCGGCCCGTCCGACTCGAGTCGGGGCGAGTCCGAGAGCAGACTCCACACGGGCTCGGAGCCGCACACGTGCAGGCACGTGGCGAGCGCGACCAGCGGCGGCAGCAGCGCGGCCACGTGTCCGACGACGGCCGGCCAGCGCTGCTCGGGCGGGCCGGCGCGCAGTGTCAGCGTCGCCGCCCGGTACACCAGCTGACACACGGCCGCCAGGGGGCCGGTCAGCAGCCAGGCGAGGCGCAGGGGGCGCGCCAGTCGAGACGCACGCCGGCCGAGCGCCGCGCGCAGCGCCGCCGCCCGCCTGTCCGACGCCATCTTCAGGCCGAGCGTGCAGCAAAGTAGCAGCAGGCAGGCGGCCCACTGCAGCTCGAGCAGCTGCGTCACCGAGCCGCGCACCTGGGGCCAGGCGTAGCCCACCAGCAGGAAGCTAGTGGCGAACGCCACGCCATACGTGGCCAGCGCGGCGATGTGCAGCGGCCGCCGGCGACAGTAGGGCGCCGCGTCGGCCAGGTTGAGCGCCGCGCTGAGAACCACCACCGAGAGCGAGGCGAGCGAGTGGAGCGCCACGGCGCCGAAGTACAGCAGCGCCCAGGGGCGGCCAGTCGGCAGCCGCTGCAGCGCGCCGGACACCGTCACCAGCACGAACTCCTCGGCGTGCGGCTCGAACGTCGGCGGCAGGGCGCTGCTGGAGCCGGACCCGAGGCTGCCGCGGGCGGCTAACACCAGCAGGCTACTGAGCAGGCCGAGGCCGAGCGCGACGAGCCCCACCACGGCGGAAGTGGCCAGCGCGCCTCGGCCGCTCTGGTCTCGCGCCGACACTGACGTCACGACGCCGCTGCCGGCGCCGATGCTAGCGAACGCCAGCCACACGGCGTCGGCACAGAGCGCGAGTCCGAGCCGAGGTCCGAGAGGCCGCGGCGTGATGCCGAGCAGGCGGATGGCGCCTGCCGCGGTGCCCGGCGCTGCCAGCAGCCGGACGGCGACGGCGAGCAGCGCGGCCGGGCTGGCGGCGCATGCCAGCGCGGCCGTCCAGCCGGCGCCGCGCAGGCCGAGACAGGGCAGCAGCACCAGCAGCCAGCCGGCGGCGTACGCGAGTAGGCGGGCCGCCTGCCGGTGTTCCCGGATGGCGGCCGGCGCGCTGCTGAGCGCCGGACCGCGCACGTAGACGTGGAAGAAGTCGGCGGCGGCCGGCTGACGGTGACCGACGCTGGCCAGCGGCAGGAACGGGGAGCGGGCCGGTGCAGAGTCGAGCTTTCGCGCCGACAGCCGGTGTGACGGCATCTCCGGCAGCGCGGTGCCCCAGCAGTGAGTGCCGTTCGAGCCCAGGTGGCCGTTCGCACGACAGAATTCGTCGGCAGACATGCAACGGAAGTCGTAGTAGACGGAGGCGTTAGATTTCTGACTGCAGGCTTCTTGGAGCGGTAGAGTGTAGCACTGTTTGGAGTTGTATTCTCGGCTGCATGTACCCCACGGAAGGGGACTTTGCAGAGAATGAAAGGTGTAAATGAGTACCCAAGCAACGAACTGCATATAGTACATGCTCATTAGCAAGGTAAGCAAAACAAGCGCGTGACCCAAGGCACGGAAAATCGGCCCCAGCCTCGCAAGACCCTCAGCAATGCTCTTGCCAGTGTAATACCCTGCCCACGACTCTAAGAAATGAAGCGGCACGGAACTGGTGACAGTGAGAACAATTACGGGCACGTACGCCACTATGCCACCATATTGCCAGCACAGGAACGGCGCTAAAACCAGTGGACTGACACCGATGTGCAGAACGAGTTTGACACATGTGGCATGGACGGCGGATGACCATGTTGCCCGATCGGGCCGGGCTGACGAGCGAGTAGGTGCATCCCGCACGCGACACCGACGCGATAACTTGCTGAAGAGCCCGCTGCAGTAGTCGTCGCCCGCTCCCGGGCGTGGTGAGGTCAACTTATCAGTGGAGAGGTTCGGAGCTGCATCTTCCAGTGACGAGCATGTCAGGGCGCTAAGCAGGCTTGGTGATCGGGACGCCGTGTCACCGTTGTTTGATGTAATGACTGGATCCATCGGGGTTTTGTTGGCTGCAGTACATGTGACAGATTCCGTGTTTTGCTGAGGGAAACTGGTGAGGTCCCTTAGATCAGCAATGCAAATATTTCGGGGTGAAATTACAACGCTTTTTACGGCTCCGATAAATACTGCCCATTGTTTGGAGCCAACACACTCCAATAGCGCCGTTCTTTAAGCGGGCACATTTAATCAATGACCTCTCCCTCCGTAAGCAGCCAATTTCCTGTCAGTTACTGACTTGCTTTTGCGCATTCTAGTCCTCCACAGCCACCTTACAAATCTGAGTGCGAAACGGGGCCAGCAGAACAGTCACAAAGCCACAGCAGACATACATTTAAAATGGTCACGACTCCGAAGGTTTCAAAGCAACGAAATGTCGTAATTATACGACGTCTCGTGCTATAATTATGTCTTGTCTCCTAGTGAAGAATACAGACGCAGATTACGCTGCATGGGTCCGTATGCTTTTAGTCTGCTGCTACCTGGGTTTCTCAGTCCTGTTATGCTAGGCGTGTCTTTCCTTGGGTGATTAGATTTCTTGGATACCAAAAGCTCTCATCGAACTGGAATCGTTCTCTTGCAAGCTATGGTAACCATTTGAACAAACTAAACGTGCAATGCCTGTATATATTCAGCCGAGGATCGAGGTATCATGTCATATTCCAGTGCTTGGTGCCAACAGCCAATTGATTATTTCTTTCCCCAACAATTTGACACAATTTTGGCGCCTATTATAACGCGTGATTATCATGTCACGAGCTCGTTTTTTTTAAAGGCAGCATTAGTGAAACTGAGCCCAACGCCCGAGTCCGAGTTGGAATCATGCGTCTTGAGTTGAAATCCGACTCCGGAGGGCAGGCATGTTTTAGATATGCCCGAGTCTGAATTCTTTTTTTCTCACAGCATATCACTCCGACTCCGTGTCAAAGTGCTGGCCGACCGAATCCGAACGAGCCATAGTCCTAGTCATTAGTGTGAACCACAAGGGCATGACGGATTTTCCACGCAGTTGCTCACGGGATTGTGCGGAGCAAACATCGCCCCACATCAGATTTTCAGGATAGGGATCGCTATAGATAACAAACCATAAACTTGTGAGCCCATCGTAAAAAGTCATCAACATTACCTTGTCAGCTATCCGCTATTACATTACCTGGCCTCTCAACACGTCCTACCAAACGACCACTTACATATTTCTCGGATGGTCTGACAGACCTCCCAGCGTCCAAATGGCCGAAGCTATTTTCGGGCTAAGACGAGGTCAAAGTCCAGAATTTTAGAGCCCGCGACTGATAAACATGTGCTCGAGAGTGAGAAGCGTTAATTTGCCCCCTTCAAAGGTTTGCCCAGAATGTTTCCCGAACAGCGCGGTGGAGCTGTGCCAAACTTTGCGTGGCTTTGGGCAACTGCATGGTGAATCTCTTGGTATGCAGAAATTGATTTCCCTTGTAAGACCGCTGACCTTTGGCAAGTCAAAGTCAGACCGTGGCTGTCAGCAGAGGCCATTGCTAGGAAATTGTTTGATGTCGTTCGACAACGGCGTGTACGACGAAGCCATGCGCGTCTGATAACATTTCTTAGGCAATACACAAATTGAAGTTAGAATTAAAACAAATTCAAATGATCTGCAGTTAGGTATGAAAATAAAACCGATGCCAACACTAACCTGCCTTTTTACTCTAGAGATGACATTATGGGAAAGTTTCTGGTGCTCTTTTCTTATCTAAATATGACAGCAACCACAACAGTCATTCTACATAGATTTCAAAACTCCTATCAGCTCACTACCTAAAATGACCCAGGTTACATCTTGGTTTAGGAGCATACTGCTTAGCGTAATCCCTGATGCTGATTTAGGTGGCAAAATAGGAGCAGTTTCGAAGGTTTTTGGTCTTCCTGAGCCTGTACAGGTCAAGCCAGATCACTGGAATTAAATAAACACAATTAATGTTTTGCTTAGAACAGGTATGCAGGTTCACGACTTAAGTGGGGAGGTCTCAGGGCAATTTGGACACCAATCTGGAGTTAAGCTTTTTACGTTATTTGACTCTAAGGTCATGACGCAGGAGTCTCAGATTCTGACATAAGTGAGATCACATACAAAGTAACTCCCCCTGCGAACTTGGTATCCCTAGCTCCCGCAGTTTTGAGTTCTCAAGGGCTCATATTTACCGCCCACCCGAGCGAAGGGCAACCGACTACCCGGGCGCGTGCCAA